TTTTACTCGATCGGTAGGTTTTCACTTGACCTTTTACTCGATCGGTAGGCTTTCACTCGACCTTTTACTCGATCGATAGGTTTTCACTTGACCTTTTACTCGATCGGTAGGTTTTCACTCGACCTTTTACTCGATCAGTAGGTTTTCACTTGACCTTTTACTCGATCGGTAGGTCTTCACCCGAAAGGTAAGCTTTCACTCGACCGGTGAGTTTTCACTCGACCAAAAACATAGCCTGATCTTGATTTGTCTCCCCAAGTCTCATATGACCTCGGATTGAGACGAATTATATATGAAAATCGATTGCTTCGACGAGACGAAGACAATTCCTTCAGAATACTCCTTCATCCGAGGTTGTCTTGAAGGCATGATCGGCCGAAAACCACTCGGAACGTTCAATTCTGTCACTCGGAGTATAGCTTCGGCCACTAAGATGAGGTCGAATGGCCATAGCCTAAACATCAAAGTTGTTCCACTCGACGATATGAAACTTTCTCATGCTGAAAACCCTTTCACTCTGTATTTTGCCAAAATCAGATGTCAACAGTGGCACACTTTCCTGTGCATGTATGGAGTTCTTTCCCTGGCCATGCTGTCAAGGTTCGGTTCCGAGCCATGGCAAAATCAAGCGACGGCACTTTGGTTCTTCCTTGCGCTCGCCGTCAATTGACTGGCTCTGCCATTTTAGGTGAAGTGGGAACTGTAAACTATCAAGTGATCAGTGTCTGTGTGATGTGTTAACCTGTCTTTATTCAGTGCACTATGAATGCTCCTCTAGATCGACCGAAGACTTGAGTCCAGTAGCAAAGTGAAACAAATACGGAGTACTCCCTCCGTAAACTAATATAAGAGCGTTTAGATCACTAGTTCTTATATTAGTTTACGGAGGGAGTAGTAGATAACAGCAAGTATCTAACGAATGATCTTGGGTGCTGCCATCTCTGACGATTTGGCTGATATTATTTGGGTCGTGCCTCCTGTTTATCTAGATTATGAGGCCATGGTTTGTCATCAGTTTGTTGAGAGGAACGATCAGTTCCTCCAATACCGACTAATCTTTGACAGACGATGCACCTACCACGTCGCTCTCTCTGCTCTTGCTTTTTTTGACTCTCAGGCAAAAGAGAGATATGTTATAACCAGGGAGGAGACGGACGAGTATAAGAGGAGGACGAAGACAGCCCGTCTCCAAGCGGCAGCTCATGAAGCAATAGCTGCTGCATCTCAGTACGAGCTCATGAAGCAATAGCTGCTGCATCTCAGTACGACCCCAGTTACAACTTTGAATAAAATTGAGGCTGCTAAAAAATGGTGCCATGATATTTAGTGTTAGCTACATATTGTTGACTGTTACCATTCAGAAATCAGCTTTCATGATTAACAGTGCCATGGCTTGGTGATTTACCGAGTTCGAAGATGGCGGCGCATCATCAGCCATGGATACCTGCGCATCTTTCTTCATGGCTGTCTGGAAAGGAGATCTAGGCGTCGATTGTGCTTGAAGTGAAAGCACCAACCCATGAGAGAGACTAGCAATGCATCTATCTCTTCATGGAGGAGATAGCTAGACCATGGTGATGGTGCTCTCAGTTCAAGGCACTGTCGATGTCTCATCTTCAGGTCAGTTTATGTCTGTACAATTTATAACTGATCAACCAAATGAGATCAATAGTTGCAGATTTCAACAAGGTAGGAAGGGGGTTGAGGCCAGAAGATGAAGCCATGGCATGCAGATCTGGGTGGACATTCAGTTAAGCCGAAAGCCATGGTTTCGTTTTTCGTACTAATTTGGATATATGAAAACAGCAACACAAATAGCTCGTACTAACTTTGGTGACAATTCAGTTCGGGTTTTTGGTTAAAACACAATGCACGTGAGATTTGCAGCCTACATTCTGAAGTACGGGCGTGTTTTTGGAGTTGACTCGCCCTTATGAGATTCGCCCATTATAACACACGTTTGGCCCAGGGCATAATACTCGCCAAATTTCAAAAATGTGGCATTTCTGTTTAGTGGCAAGGAAGGAAGCCTCAAATCTGAGCATTTTTTCTTCTTCTTGTCATTCAAAGCCAAGAATTAGAGCATATTGCTATTGTTTCTGCTAAGCAAAGCAGAGTGGTGACATGCATGATTCAAGCCTTCTTCTCCGGTGCCGGCACCGGAGTGTCCGGGGTCACAGAGGCCAAGAACTTTTGGCGGTTTTCGCATGACAAATAGCAAAAACTGGCTGTTCCAGGTGATGAAGAAGAGGACAAGAAAGAATGTGACTAGATAAAGCAAATGGTGATAAAGTTACAAAAGTATAAACCTCAAAGCAACTCAGCTTTTCACCAATGACTTTTCTCATCATGTGTTTTGAAAAGAGCTCGAACTCTTCTCTCTGGCAATGACACCAGCAGAGGAACCATTTGAAATTCTGAAAAGATGACACGATAATTTGGATACGTTCTATCTGAAATTCTAAAGCAGAGCAAGATGACAGGTCCAATCAAGTTGAGGTTTCCTAATCTTGCATACACCTGAAGTCCTAGAACGGATTTCCATTCGACGTTGGCTACCCGAGGCAAAGCAGGAAAGCTGTTAGATGGGTGGTGATACATACACTCCTGCAGGCTCAGTTTCCCTAATCAAGTCGAGGTTTCCTAACCAGCCAGTATGCCAGGAGAGTGATCCAGTTTATAAGGGAAACCGGATCGAAAACCTATGTACTGTGATCTTCAAGAGCCATTGGGGGCCTGGAAGGTGTCGGGCCTGTGTTTCTCCATCAGACCGGTAAGAGCGGCATCAAACTCCTCTTCGAGCTCCATCTCCTTTGTCATGTACTCTTTCTTGAGCTGCACCTTCTTCTCCTCGTGTGCTTTTATCAGTTCGTCTCTTTCAGCCTCGAACTCCTGCACGTCCTTAACCTGGCAGTCGATGAACCGCTGTACCTGTTCCTTCCTGCACAACAGCATAACACGTACGGGTTAAAATAGATCATGTTTTAATTATGTTGACGTAGGTAGGAGACGGCAAGACATGATCGAAAAACGAAATAGAAGCACAAGTGAAACATCCACCTTAGCCTGCGATTTTCGGTGGTCCCAGAATCGTCCACATGACACTGTCTAGCCTTGGCACGCTCCTCCTGCAGCAACCTCTCAAACTCACGTTCCTTTTCCTCCATGGCCCTGCGCATGCTTTCTATCTGATCATGGAAGAATTGATCCTGGGATTTCATCTGCAAAGTATAGAAGAAACACAAGGTGGGCAAAGGAGACGAACTCAAAAACAAGGAAGAAGATTTAAGGAAGCAAATCGTTACCTCCTCCTCATACTCATCGTGTTTTTCCTTGGCTTTACGCCTGACAAATATATTCTCTTGTATAGACTCTCGATGTTTCCGGGCAACAAAACCCAGGCTTTCTTCTACAGCTTTAGAGTGTTGCTTTGTCTTAACCACCTTGTTCTTGAGATAATTCCGTTCTTGATTATCTTCACTCATTTGTTTCAGCTGGGCCACTACCATCTCATTATGAGATCTCATCTCATATTTCAGGCGGTTTTTCCCTGAGAATTATAATAAAGCATTTATGTTCATACATAGTACAGTAGGCAATATATCTGTTAACAAAACCATGAAGTACTGAAGTCTGGTTCAATAGAGCATTTTCCTTTTACCTTTGCACTAAATTAATGCTTTTTTACACCAAAATAAATAATCTAGGCTCCAAGCAAGTCATAACTATAGACCTTCTTCGATTTAACAGGATAGCAGACAACACAACACATAGAAGACCTACAAAGATCTATTTTTGGATGAACTAGCAAACCATACCCTTAACATTATTAACTGGCATCATTACTAAGCGCACACATGCTCATTAATATACCAAAGAAATTAGGATCCCATGCCATGTTACAATGTGTATGACAGTCTTGCAAGCTACGAGCTTTGTAGAAAATGTGTATGCCAGAATTGATTTTTTATTTTAATATAATAAATTAAAAAATCATGCTCAGTAAAACATATTTTGTGTTAAGTAGGCAAATATCCAAATCACCAATTAAAAGGTTGCTGCACAAACAAGTGTTGGCAATGATCGGAAATTATAATCAAAACAACATCAGAAAGCTAAAGAAGCATGTTAGACATGAACGTGGCAGGTATTGACCATGTTAACATCTCAATGCGAGAAGTTAAAAAATATTATACCTGGGTGGTGCTTATTGAAATCCTCCATGTCTTCCTTTAAGGCTAGGAAACCATATAATTGTCTTTTGCCACCAGGCAAGAAAGGAACCCTGCGTTTGTTCCATGTGTCCCTGTCTGTTCCTTGATGAACAAAGAGCCTATGCAGACGTTCTGCCTCCATATAGCCCACGGCAGAGCTTTCAAATATTAGCACACTCATGCCACGGTGCCCAAGAGGACCGTATGCATGGCGTGCTTTGGTCACAGCATAATCACTGAAATATCCGAGCAGCTCTTGGTTGCCCATGCCTAACCACTGTTGAGCATCAATGAATAGCGAAATCAGAATGCAATAAAACATAATTTTAGAACCTTGAACATATGTTTTTTTTACAAATGCAATGGACTGCATATTTACAAACATTCAACTGATTCACCAACTATACCTAGCCAACGCATCAGACATATATTTACTTTATTCTAGTTTATATTAAATTCAAGCATGACTGCAAGCAAATAATTATAACAGGTCGTGTGAATATTGAGTATTTTAATCCTTCCCAGACAGATTAATAGATATGAAACAAATGCTCTAGAAAGATAAAAGAAATAAGCATGAAAATATGACAGTCTTGCTGTTTACTTTTGCTACTAATACAATGTGTAGTTGAAGATAGACAAACATCATCACCTTATCATCTTCACCCTTTTCCAGTCTTGTGTTCATCACAATCACCATTGGTGGCCATACTATCTGCCGGTCGGTGCTTTCTGCCAATCCGTTCCATTTCCCAAAGTGCTCGCCGGGCTGTACCACAGAAGATCCCCTGCGAGACATCTCCTCTTCCAGCAATGCAGCCAATTCCCTGTGGAGCTTAACCCTCCTAGAACCCATTGTTCTAGCATGTCTGACCAAAGATTCCAGCCCTTTGAACCAGGCAATTGCTCCTGGTCCATTTTGGCATGCCGGACAATGCGACTGTCGCTCATGTATCTGATCCACACTTAAGGTATCGGTCTCCTGAAAAAAACTTCTGAACCACTTGTTTGTTTTTCGGGTTTCGAAACTTTTCTCCGATGCATCGGAATCATAGTCATCGCTCATGTCATCATCATCATCATTAAGATCATCATCATCTGACGAGTCCTCGACTTGAGGATCATCCATCTCAGGGTCGAAACAAGAGGAAGCAACATCATCGTTGTTGCTTTCAGGACGAGATGGGCGAGGCCTTGATGCCCACTGCCAACCATTTAGCAGAGGTGGGGTGACAGCTGGGTTTGGCGCTTGCAATCCTGGTTCTGTAGACCTTGCTTGTGATGATGCCCTGGGATTGCCTCTGGCAGCAGGCCCACGACCAGAAGGTTGAGCCCAATTATTTCCTGAAGGACGCGAAGACCCATTGCCATTCCAAGCTTGCCGTGCTGTAGCGGGTGGAGCATTGGAGGATGAAGTCCGTGGCGCCCATTGTCCCCTCCCAGATGTCTGCCCTGATTTCTTCTTATTCTCAATAGTCTCCCAACCACCCCCTGGACCTGGATGCAGAACAAGGACAGGATTATGTAATGTATGATTATTAGATAGAGCCATATAAACAAACATATTTACACGTATGATGTCAAGAATTGAAAAAGCTGCAGAAGGGTAATGCGCTGTTAATCAAAGCCTTAAGAAGGGTCATCACAAGTTGTGGCAAATGATTATTGAGTTGGGAGACAATTATCACAATTGGCAAAGGATTCGTGAATCGGCAATGGACGAGCATGTTACAGAATTTAGCATGGTAGGTAACGTTAAGAATAACCGTACGTATGAGATGAGATTAGTTCATACTTGGACTGTGTAATTAATCTAGGCTCCAAGCAAGTCAAACAAGAAATCCAAGAAATCAAATCAAATCAAATAGAAACCCAAAGGTGGACTCTGTAATCTAAGCTCTAAGCTCACGGAACTAGTAACTGAATCCCCAGTTATTTCAAAACAAACAAACCCAAACCTAACAATAATAATAATAATAATCACCATGCCTAATTCATGAATCACTCGGCCCGCCCCATGGATGGATCTAGGAAAACCAAATCAGCAGATGCGCCATCCAACGCGCACCGCACGGATCCTCAAAGCACGGGGGCATCTCCACACCGCGGCAAGGGAGGGAGGGAGGTAATTCAGGAATCACTCGGCCCACCCCATGGATGGATCGAGGAAAACTAAATCAGCAGATGCACCATCCAACGCGCACCGCGCAGATCCCCAAAGCACGGGGGC